GATTTTCCAGGCTTTTTGCAAAAAGCCTAGGCATTTTACAAAATGACTGACTCTCCAGTCATTCTGCAAAATGCCTAGGCATGTTACAAAATACCTAGCCATTTTACAAAATGACTGAGCAGTGTGTTGTAGATACGAGTACCTAATTATATACGTTTTGGTAGCGTGTAGGTGGACCGAGGAGTCCAGCATTATGACCAGAGGAGTCCAGCAGTGGGAAGTTCATACCTACCTCTATTTTGAGAAGTGCAGGCTCGCGACATTTCCAACCCCCCACGTCAGCGACGCTGCTGGATTTAAAATGATTGATCTGGAGCGTCAACAAACGACTGGCCCTATGCCGGCCTGTATCTGTAAAACTATTAGAGGTCGCGAGGATTCGATCCCACACACTTAGGCGTTAGTATCTTCTGAAACCAACGCTCTCGTCCTACGCCAAGCGACCTGATGATTCTCCCGATGTGGAGCTTGATATTTTTAACTGGGACCATGCAAGTAGGTACTCAAAGCTGTTACCACGAGCAAAATTAAGCGTGTTTTGTTAATTATTGCTTTAATATTCATTGTGATCAGAGAGCTTTTTTATTCCAAGGAAAAGTTAGGAAAAACCTAAAGAAAACCTTGCGGCGCGAGTTATTGGCGAAAAACAGGAGGGGTGGGCGGAATCCGCCCCCCCCCCTTCCACTGCGCGTGTTAAAATGTGAGGATGAGAGAGAAGGAGTGGGAAATTATAATTAAATTCGAACGTGTTTTTATTGTCCAAATACATAATGCAGTTTTGTCCGTAATGGCACAATCAAACAAAGACTACACTCATTCGTTTACATGTAATTGTACATCAACCGGGCCCGCCTATTGACTAGGGCCGGTCTCCGGCTGGTTTTGTTAGGTCTAGTTTCAGGCAGAACATGAACGGCGTTGATGTACATACCTACTTGGGAGTTTTTACAGCGTTAACTAAGCAATGCTTTATGCTACAGCCGAGTCTGCAACTCAACCTGGTCGTTACTCAGCATTGTCGTTATCACAGAGCTTCAAATCGATCAGCTACAGGCTGAACACGTACCTATAGGGTATAGGAAGACGTCCAAAAACTGTTGGCCATAGTATCTGTAGTGGGATCTACGTTCCATGCTGGTCAGGCATTTTGCGAAATGCCTAGTCATTTTGTAAAATGGCTAGCCATTTTGAAAAATGCCTGGTTGCGTTCAGTCATTTTTCAAGCAGCCGTCTTTTTGTAAAATGCCTAGGCATTTTACAAAATGACTGATATTCTAAAGTGCCTGCAACATACATACTTATTGCTACATTTATTTATGCCTGCATTAAACACTTATTGAACCTTACCAGGTTCCTCAACTTCTTTTATCGTTATATCTCACTCATGAAACTACAATGAGGCTCGGTTAGCTGCAATTATAATAAGATATAGGTGCATTGTTCAATATAAGTCCTGTCGATGCACAGCCTCTGTAGACTTCCCTTAGCAGCCAGAGCCTCACAGCCTGTATGTGAACGGGGGCCGACCACTGCACTAGTCACGCTGTACCGAGTCGCCAGCGCCCGTATGCGTAATATGTATGCAGTACAGTGTACGGGCTCAGTGCTCGGTGCTCAGTGTACTGGCCCCCGGTCACACACAGCCCAGTCCCCAGCGCCTGTATGTATGTATACGGGCCCCCGGACACACTGTACCCAGTCGCCAGTGCCTGTACGGAGCCCAGTCGCCAGTGCTGTCCGGCAGTCCGGGCACGTCCGTCCGCCGGTCGGCCGCGCTCGCCGGCCGCCCGGTTATCGGCTCTCGCCGCGCCGAGAGACGGTGTTATACGGTATGCAGGACCGCCACCGCTGCGCCGGCAGAGGCAGCTGAGAGGCCGCTGACCCGACCCGCCTGCAGGAGCGGTCCGGGCCTCCGCCGTCCTTTGAAGCCCGTCCCTCCATCCCCCTTGCCTCCGTCCCCCGTTTGGGAGCACCGCTCACACCTCTCAACTTGCTCCACTCCGACAGTCGTCCCCTCCGTCCCCCTCAGTCCATCCCTCAGCGCAGCCGTCCCTTCCGTCCCCCGCACTCCTTCCCTCCGTCCCCGTAAGGGCGCACCCTGCACTCAGTGCCGCCCGATAGCCGGCCCCTCCGCCCTGCCTCCACACGTCAAACACCTGCGTCGAACGGGTGTGCCGCTCGCCGTGCTCGAGTGATTGCGCAACGTGGCAGATATGTGTTTCTCCCTTCCTGCAAGCCTCGCCTTACGCTGCTGACCGCGATATGGCATGCAACTTGCAGCTTTCTGTCCCCTCTGATCATTTTACGTGCAGTGCCTCTGACTGTATCAGACACTTGCAGTGTCTCTACGTGCACCTATGTTTCTGCGCACATTCTCCGTTCTGTGTCGTTCTCCTGTAATTGAAAAGTGAACAGTTGAACACATTCCCTTCAACACGCTCCACCCAGCCGACGGTTCCCGGGAAACCTGACTAGTGACTAGTGTCGGACGCCGCTTTTTGCCCGGGCTGTCGTTCGGTGGCTTCTGTTTTGTGCGGCCACGAGCCGGGGCAGTGAACGCCGCTCCTGTTCGCCCGATCGAGAGCAGCTGGCCGCCCTGTTCCGCACGATTTACCGACCGGTCGCTTTCAACTGAGACAACGAAAAATGCAAATGGGAGGCGGGCAAACGTATTGTTAAAAAGTGGGAATGAGTGGTGGGATCGTGGGGTGGCAGCTTTACGATATCACAATAACAGCCATCTGCCGACTGTGTAGTTATTATTAATGAGTCAGGGTTCTTTCCTGTCGGGCTGTTTTACTCGGACAGGCCGTATCCGCTCCCTCCTCTACGAATATCTGTGAGACACTGCGAAAGGCCCGCCGAGAGCTCTGGTTGAAAGGATTTGCTTTCCCACGAGTGCGTCTCCGTCAGATCTCGGTAAGTTTGTGTCTTACCGGCGCGTATAGTGCTGACGGCTCTTGCAGCTCTCCCCCTCCTCCGTCCGTCGGTCGGCAGTCAGTTTCTCTGTGTGCAGTGATTGCGGCATACCTGCCGGTGTGCCCGCTGCGGGGCTGCCTGTATAATGTGTATGCAGATTGCAGCTAGGTACGGCGGCGGTGCGGTAGTGCACGCGGCTGCGCTGCACCAACTGTGGCATTCCTCCATCCTGCAGTGACCTGCCTGTGAATAGATACGGAGCTGTCAGCGAATCGCGCACCCGTCCGGCTGCTGTCCTTTTTTGACATCGATGTGTGACTTTATCGCAGCCGTAAAACGCGACACGTTTTGCAGATGTCTATCGCAACTTGACGGGGCGCGCTAAGTCATGTTACTGATTGAGGCCGATTGGAATACTTTTCGGTTCTACTATATTCAGTGCGCACGGAGCATTTCACACTGATAGGGGAGAAACGCATAATTTTCCTTTCAATTTGAAGATAACGTCCTATTTGAACCACCAGCAGTACATCAAACTCTCCCCTAAAGGATGTTTTACATTTTATCGCGTCTTCTTTATGTCAGTGACCAAAGTTTGCATTCCATTGTATCCAGTAAATTGACGAGCGGGCCCATTTCAGGCAGCCTCTGCCTCTTGCCATCAGCTCGTCCTCGACTACCCCTTCGACACCGCTTTGCAAGGGTAACGGATAAACGGTAACCGATCGAGTCTCGAGACTGCACGGCGTCCAAACCTCTCAGTGCAGCGGTGGAGCGCGACCGGGCCGGCTCGTTCCGTCCCTGATTCCCCCTTCATGGCGGTGCCGCTTTCTGTGACTCGGGAACCACCACTGCCAGCGGTTCACCTGTCCCAGACCAGAGACCACGGTGGTCCGCACGAGAGGGGAGAGTCGGCGGTACCGACCTCTGGCCCGGCGCCCCGCCCGGGTCATCAAAGCCAACCGAAACGCTGACAAAAGAGGTGATTTGTCGCGGCTTAGAACGAGCCGGGCGCCCGCTTTTCCCTCCGGGGCTGGTGGCGCATTCCTCCGCCTTTCTCTAGAGCGAGCCTTTTACCGGGGCCGCGCGGCAAAGACGCGGATTTACTGTGACCCGGCGGAGGCTCACAGAACTGGGCTGACGCGCTCAGCGAAGGTCATGCGCCGACCGCCGTCCCTAATCAGGCTGCTTAGTTTATAGGTGCTACGTATGTCGGCCTGAGGAGATACAGCCTCTTACCCCTCCCTTGTCCGCTGTTCTGTCCCTGAGGGACTTGTCTGAGGTGCCTGCTGGTGGCTTCATTACCAGTGAAAAGCCAGAATCCAGAGTCTGGGAAGAGCCACCACCCCAAGCCGACCATTGGGGTTACTGGGCCAACCAGCCAGCCGGCAGGCAGGCAGGGTGCTCCTGCTCGGCCGGCCGGCCTTGCGGCGGCCAGTTGCTCGCTCGCCGCGGCGTGCAGTGTGCAGTGTGGGCCGGGTCATGACCCGCACACCCCGTGAGTCAGCCGGGTGCGGCCGGGTCGGGTCTCCGGTCTCGGTGCCGTGCCGTCCGCCGTGTGCCGCGGGGTCTCCGGTGTACCGGACCCCGGCCCAAGGCCGTGCCGCGTGGCCCCGTATTGTTCTCAGACGACCATTGTGACCGGCTCAGTGTCAGCGGGGAGCGGAGGGGGACAACGAGCCATACCCTGATGAGCCGCCGTCACAGCTGTGACCTTCGCCACAGTCACAGAGCTCACACACACTGCGAGAGCGACCGAGGCTCGTCAGTTGCCACATACCCGCTTATCTCTCGCGGGTCCCGGCTCTAAAATGCATTTGATCAGAATTGATGCCCACATATATCAAGTGGCTTATACTATTTCAGCTTCATATTACATTTTTGCAGGCTACCAAAAAGAGGTCAATTCTGTGTGAGGGACTGTCAATATCTACCAATAAATTGCTATTTCCGCTGAACTTGTAAGTCGCCTTGTTTCAGCGCCGAGTTAACCTGTATAGTGCCATGTCCAAATATAGCATATCATGTGCTGATTGCCGCATATGACCATAGACTCTAACCCTGTTTCTGCCTTGTTCCAGCGGAGAGCGATCTGTGCACGTTCAGCCAGCGGACACACCACTTCAGCAGCGTTCAGGAGGCGCCTGATCGGGATATGTTCACGGCAGCCAGCCGGCCGTCGGCCATCCGTCGGCTGTACCGACGGGCCGTGCTCAGTCCGGTCAGCGTGCTGCGGCAGCTCGACTCGTTCAGGTCAGTAAGGGGTCAGTGGACGTCAATGCGAGGTCAGCGGAGCCTGGAGGTCAATACGGGGTCAGTGCCAGGTCAGCAGGGTCACGTGCTGCGGCAGCTCGACTCGTTCAGGTCAGTATGGGGTTAGTGAAGGTCAATACAGGGTCAGTGCCAGGTCAGCAGGGGTCGGGTGCTGCGGCAGCTGTACTCGTTCTGGTCAGTTCGACGCCAGTGAGGGTCAGCGGAGCTCAGCGGCAAGTCAGGGGTAGCTGAAGGTAGCTAGCTGCAGCTCAGCGCAGGGAGCGGCAAGTAGCTGGAGGTTGGACGGCAGGTTAGATGGTTAGAAGAGGTCAGTCGCGCTGAGAAGTCGTCTGCTGATCAACAAAGAACGGTGTGGGGTTAACTGAGGTCAGGAGAAACCGAGGGGCTAGTCGCTACAGAGCCAGTAGGGGCTAGCTTCAGGAAACCCGCTACATGCATGTTCAGTAGGGCTTCAATGGCGGGAGTTGGTATTTTTTGCGGTGTAGATCAGTTTATCAGAATTGTGACAGG